TGAGTCCAGGAGGTCGGGGACTGTTCAGAAAGGAGGGGTTCCAGAGGGACGTGGTGTTTGTTTATTCTCAGCCTCTTACAAGTCAGCATCCCCTTTGCCCCTTGGCAGCTGTTCAGAAGGACGTTGGCTGTCCTGGCCTCTCTGCCAAGGAGAGAGGCTCTGAGGACACCGCCACGGGCCAGGCATCTTCCACAGAAACTTCTTTCTTTTTGGCGTGAGGGTTACACTGGTCCCAGAGGTGCTCTACACTGAGCTCCACCCCCAGCCCTTTTTATTATTTTGAGACAGGGATTTGCAATCCTCCTGCCTCGGCCTCCCGAGCCACTGGGATTACCAGCACAACTGCAGCACCTCTCTCTGGACAGCTTTGACTGACAGCGTGTTGAGCGCTGTGAGAATGGGTGTTGATAGGAAACTGACCACCCATGCAGGGCGCCAGCTTGCCGTGGTGCAAGCTGATGTCAACGTGACCCGCCAGCCTCTCCTCGGCTCCGCCCCATGCCCGTAACTGGATGCGCTTCTGCTGGGGGGTCAGAGGCCGCCCGGGCCTACAGGCAGGGCAGGGCAGGCTAGGCTTGTGTAAATTCGGCCTTCACCCTCGCCTCCCCAGGAAGGGAAAGGAGATGCCCTGTCCACGCTGGCTGCTCGCTGGCTCTCGGGCTCAGGATCTGTGCCTGTTTTTGACTCAGTTCCCGAGATAATGACTGGCCAGCTGCGCTGTCTTCCTCCCTCCCTCCCTCCCGGGGAGCTGGGGGGACAGCTGCGCCTCAAGGTGAATCAACGGGCGAGCCTGCTTGTAGGACGCAGAGGGGCGTGAGACGTCCATGTGTACACCCCTCCGGGCGAGTCGGGCTGGGAGCCTGGGAACCTGAGTCCCTGTCACTGTCCTGCAAGGAGCTCCTCCTCTCCTAACCGAGAGCCAGAATGGGCTGTGGCCGTCACACCCTGGAAGGTCCTTGCAGTCCCTTCTGATGGCCTGGCTCTCCTCTGTAAGGCCCACCAGGTGGCTTCCCACCGGTGGACACTTCCCAACACAGGTGTCATCCTCGGGCCCCAGCCCCTGTGGCCAGGGCCAGTTCCCTCTTTTGTTGTAATGGTCTTCTGTATCACCCACCTGTCAGTGTCCTGTGCCACCCTCAGGTGACCAGAATAGTGCTGACACTCGGTGGACACTGAGTACGTCTTCAGTGGTGAGGGAAGGAGGCGCCATCCTGCCTGAGCCTGGGGCTGCACAAAACCCACACAACTGTTTCCTCATGGGCTGCTGCTCCTCAGATGCCAGGGTCTCCTGACCCCTCATCACTGCCCGACAGTCCTCATGAGACATGGTGTCAGTCCTCACTGCCTTCTCCCTCAGAGTCCTCCCTGGATCCTCACCCCTGGGAGTGTCATTTCTGCTATGGAGTGCTCTGTAGCTGGCCTGTGAGAGGGCAGACAACCAGTGGGACTGGCCCTAACCCTGGGGCACAGCAAACCCACCGGGGCAAATCCCCTGCTCGTTTGCTGGGGAAGTCCTGCACGTCCGGATGTCCTTCACTGCTCTCTCACCTCCACATCCTTCCATGGCCCCCACACAGTCCCAGAGGTGGGTGTAAGCTGGTGTGGCTTGGATGGCCAAGCCCTGGATGCTGGGCACTCAGAGCCGTGCTCCCCACTGTATCCTGACGGCCTGTCGCTCACGGCTGTCACCCTCGTTCACTTTGATTTATGAGCAGACCTAATGAGTTTTGGGAGTGACTGTCTCCAGGGACGGGCCATCTATCTGGGAGGGAGCTGTTGAACTCTGCTCCTCCAGCAGCTGCAGGGGACAAAGGGGTGTGGTCCAAGGGCAGCAGTTGGGCCTGAGCCCCTGGTCTCTGAGCCCCCAGCCCTCCACTTCCTTCCCTTCCCTCCCTTCCCTCTTCTGGGTGTTGGGGTCACACAGGTTTCTTGTCACTTGCCTGTCTGGAAGCCAGGCCAGAAAGTGTCCCTTCTCTCCCCACTCCCAGGAGACAGCCAGCACTGCCATGTGTCCCATGGTGGTAGGAGCCGGGGGCCTGCCTGTCACCCTCAGGCCTCGATGGCCACTTCCTCAGGAAGGCAGGTCCAAACCTGTCCTTGTCCTGGTGCAGCAGTGTGTGCCCTTCCTGTGGCTCGCTGGGCTGATAGGTAGGTGGGCCTCCTTGCCCTGCTCCAGGGCCCAGGTGCTGCCCAGCACGGGGCAGAGGGAGCCACCTCTTCCTGGAGCTGGCGCCTGGGTCTGCCCTCCCAGCACCAGCAGCACTTCCGCACGGCCTGGCAGAGCAAGGGGACCTTGGACAGAAAGAACTGTGCTGGGCATGACTAAGAGGACAGGAGGATGGCCCACTGTCCCCCAGGTGCTCGTCAGGGAGCCACCACTCCAGAGCAGACTCTTCCTAACACTCCTGGGCCACCTCACGAGGCCTCAGGCGGCTCCTCACTCCTGGACAGCAGACGGCATCGGCCCTCGATGGTAGATCTGGGCTTTGGATGAAGAAGATCAGGAGAACCGAGCGGGTGGCTGGTCTAGGCAGGCGCCTTATCAGAAGCCTGCAAGACTGTCTGCTTGCCACCTAGAGCCACAGCTTCGTAGACGTCCTAGAAGTTCTAGAGAGAAGTCCCACATCGTGGGCCGGGGCTGGGGCTCAGCAGTAGAGCGCTTGCCTCCCACATGTAGCCCTGAGTTCGGTGCTCAGCACCACGTAAAAATAAGAAAACGCAGTAAAGGTTTTGTCCATCTACAACTAAAAAATTAAAAGTCCTCCATCATCACTGACCTAAAGGTACAACCCCCCCCTTCCCAGATGTCTGCTCTGGGGACCGCTGTCGGCGGGCGAGCCTCGGCGGGGTGCACAGGTGCGAGCTCACTCAGGCCAGTCCTGCCCTTTTGGAAACCTTAATAACTTGGTTTGTTCAAGAGAAGGAAAGCCCCCCGCTGGGCTCTCTAGTCAGCATCCTGAATAAGCAAGCCACTTTCCGCCTGCATTTCCTACAGCTTCGTGGAGACCTGGTGCTGGGCAGGAAGGTGTGCAGAGAAGCCCCAGCTGGCATCCCGGCCAGAGAGCACTAATGGGGCTCACACTGGGCAGCTGCATCTCTGCCTTCCTGCCCGCTGCCAGGACCTGGGGGCCAAGGCCCAGGTCAAGGAACAGACGGGATTTCTCTTGACTTCTTTCCAAATTCATGTCAGTCGGGGCCAGGGCCTGGAGCAGGTCACAGGCGGCACCCTGAATGGCAGTGACAGGGCAGGATTGAGATCTCGCCGCCCCTTGGCCCTGCTCAGCACCCTGCCCACAGCCTCCTGAACCACCAGCCCCGCCACCACGCAGCCTTGGCCCCAGCTCTACCCCACCCTGCTCTGCAGCTGGTGACCTTCCTGAGCCACAAGGCTGGCCCCGCTGGCTTTCTGAAGGCCCCCCATCCCGCCCCAGCGTACCTGGGAGCAGGTCTTCCTCGCAGACCTCTGCCATTCACACCCCTCCTGCACCCACCCCGGGAGTTTCTGGGATGAGCCAAGCTGCCAGGGCCAAGACTTGAGGGAAGAACTAGGTCACTGCTTCCCCTTGACTGGCCAGGGCCCGGAAGATTTGTGACACCCTGGAGCGGCAGGCATGGTGGGAAGGACCGGGCTGTGAGAGGCGGAAACAAATCATCTTCTTTATTGGTAATCTTCTCAGGCCTGTTCCTGCACTCCCCTTCCCTCCGCCATCCCTCCTGGCCCCAACAGTGTCAGGCAGTTCTGATTAAAGTCATAGATGACCCCACCCCACTCCCCAATGCATTGTGTGGGAAGACACTGGCCTGGCCTCCTGTGGGTCCCAGCAGAACAGCCTCTCCCCGGGAGGAGCCTGAGCCTCTGATGGGACTGACTGTCAGGAGTGGCCAAGCGCCACACTGGCCTCTTCTCTCTCAGTCTCGCTTCACATTCACCCATGTCTCCATGGTTATCTGAGGGACCTGGGCGAGGCTAGAGGGGCAGTCAGGTCTGCTCTGAACAGGGACAGCAGGGGTTATAAACTTCAGACTGGAGACAGGGACACTGGTCGTCTCCAGGTTGTTAAGTAGCCAACAGGGCCAGTTCTAAATGATCCATAGAGCAGGTACAGAAGCCAGAGGGTTGCAGAAAGATCTAGAAGTCCCATCTTTTCAGAGTGCCAGGAACGTTCTCTGTTGACGGCTCAGTTCTTCCTGAACTCTGCTATGCGCAGGTGCTCTGCTGCGCCACCTCCAAGGCATTCAGGTGGCAGAGGACAGGCTGGTGAGCTGGTCTGTAGTGCCTCTGTGTGAGGCAGTCCAGTCTTGGGCAGTGATAGAGGCCTGATTGCTCTAGACAGGCAGGGTCACAGGTCCTCCTACTTTTGCAGCAAATCTGTCCACTAGCTGGGCCACCAGGACAGGAGGACAGAACCACGAGTCATTTGCCACCAGCCTCGGTGCCAGCAGCTCAGGACTCAGTAGTCCCAGTGTTGCCCTCTGGTGCCATTTCTTCCCTAGTGTGACAGCTGGCCACTTCCTGCCTGCCGTAGGTGCTGGCTCCACGTCTGCACCCAGCATTCCTGCCTTTTTGCCCCAAGCCTGGGAGGATGCTTCCTTCCAAATGCTGTGTCCCTTCTGCCCTGCACTCGCCGTCGGCTCCCCAGGCGCACCCTTTAAACCAGGAGAGGGCAAAGGAACAGGTGTGCTGCCAGCCTGCTCCCTGCCAGGAAGGTGACAGGGCCACCCTGCTGACACCCTAGCATAGCACTGCTCTGAATCATAACCAGACACCCCCACACTGGGCAGAGGGGACAGGGTGTAGAGAGGGGCAGGTGGGGCATTCATAAGCTCTAGTAGCCATGTTGACCTGCTCCACAATGTGGCTTTGGGTCGCATGAATCTGAATTTAAAGGTTCTTTCTTGTGGGTTCTTTCTAGCCACCACCCCCCCACAGGTCCCCTGGCTACAGAGTCCCAGGTAGGGGACTGTCCCATGCCGTGGCTCACTCCCATCTTGTCTTCCAGCTTTCGCCATCATGATTGTGCTGGCCTTGGTCCGCATCGGAAAGGGCCAAGGAGAGGGGCACCCACCCCTGGCCGACCCCTCAGGGCTCCGGAACCTGTTGGGGGTGTGCGTCTACTCCTTCATGTGCCAGCACTCCCTGCCGTCCCTCGTCACCCCCGTCTCCTCCAAGCGCTACCTCACACGACTGGTGTTCCTGGACTACGTGCTGATCCTGGCCTTCTATGGCCTCCTCTCCTTCACCGCCATCTTCTGCTTCCGTGGCGACAGCCTCATAGACATGTACACCCTCAACTTTGCGCGCTGCGACGTCGTGGGTCTGGCGGCCGTGCGCCTCTTCCTGGGCCTCTTCCCCGTCTTCACCATCAGCACCAACTTCCCCATCATCGCCGTGACTCTGCGCAACAACTGGAAGACGCTCTTCCACCGCGAGGGCGGCACGTACCCCTGGGTGGTGGACCGCGTGGTCTTCCCCACCATCACCCTGGTGCCACCCGTGCTGGTGGCCTTCTGCACACATGACCTGGAGTCCCTAGTGGGCATCACAGGGGCCTACGCAGGCACTGGCATCCAGTTCGTCATCCCTGCCTTCCTGGTGTACCACTGCCGCAAGGACACCCAGGTGACTTTCGGCTACGGGACCGTCAACAAGCACAGGTCCCCGTTCCACCACACCTTCTGGGTGGGCTTCGTGCTGCTCTGGGCTTTCTCCTGCTTCTTCTTCGTCACAGCCAATATTGTTCTCAGTGAGACCAAGCTCTGATGGCAGGGTGTGCCTGGTGACAAGACGGCCAGGGACCCCACCACGGCCTCGCCGCTGCAGAACAAGATTTTGGTTGCCACCCAGGGCTTCATGGGCAGGAGGACAGGGGCGCTCAGAGGGCACCTCTGCATCTCCAGCTGGGGATCTCCTCCCGACCCAGGGCCCTATAGTCTGTGCTGGCCTGGTCCCCTGGAGGGCCTGGTCCCCTGGAGCAGCTCCCTGCCGTGCCCCTGCCTAGGGCAGCAGCAGCTGCTCTCAGGTTTCAGGATGGTCCCAGTTACACTGTTGCCCCCTCCAGCCGTTGGAGGCAGGCTCCTCCCTCATGTGGTGGCACATGCAGTGCTGGCACTGCTCCTATTTATACCAGACCCCGTGTCCCCTCCTCCGCCCTCCCCAGCCCCTTCCTGCATCCTTGCCTGTCTACTAGCAGCTGCTGTCCCTTCAGAGACAAGTCCCAGGCCCTGGTCCTCTAACTTGGCCTGCCTATGGCAGGCAGCACCCAACTCTCTGCCAGGCCTGAGAATCGCTAAGTGCCACTCCTAGTGACAAGAATGGGAAGTGCTAACTGGCACCAGGGTCCCTGAGCCAGAGCTGTGAGGGCCCTTGCTGTGGCCGCCATCTCTGGGGCACTGCGCCAATGGCACATCCCTTCCCAGGGCACGCGGCAGCCTAGAAGCTGGGTTTAAAGTCCTTCGCCTGTGCTTCCTGGTGGGGGCTCTTTGGCCCCTGACTACCCCTGGAGCCCTCTGGGCCCCCTACAGTATAGGGGGCTGCTGGAGGGTGCTGCCCACCCCCCCCCAAGGGCTTACTGTCCTGGGCATGAGGCGCGGAGAGGGCTTTGCATGGACGGCCAGGCCAGCAGGCAGCAGCTGCCTTGCTCCAGTCCACACAAGGGTGCTCCCTCCAGAGTCTGGCCACGGGTGCTCAGCGAGGCGCTCCTCCTGCCCCTGAGTTCCGTGGGGTAGGAAGAGATACCTGCCCGTCCTTGTGGAAGGAGGCCAGGCTCCCAGCCACCTCCACCTAATCATGCCTGCACCTGCTGGGCAGGCCACCTTGGAAACAGATGACTCTGTTGAACTCTGCATTTTCAATGTGCCTTCTGCTTCAGGCCCTGGGGATCCTTCCTGACCCTGGCTTGTCCCCAGCCCTGGGCCTGGTCCCATTGTCCTAGAGCGCAGAGCAGCCTGCCAGGGAGCTGCATCTCTGGGGAGTGGGGAACTCAGGCCCCTACCCCACCCTCTTGATTTCAGTGCCTTGCTTAGCCCTTGTGAGGGGAACTTCGCCACCTCCTCCTCTGTGTGAGTGTCGCTCTCTAACGTTTGACGGTACATCCTGGGGCCCAGGGAATGTGGGTCTTCAGGCAGCACCGCTCTGCTTCTGGCCCTGGCACCCCTGCCCCCGAGAACCCCTGAGTCATAAATTGGCCTCACTCTGCTTTCTCGCCACTGTCGCATGTGGGCAGTTCTCGCACCTGCCCCCATAAGCCATCGTCTTCCATCCGTGTGAAAAACATCTGCTCCTCCCCACCTGCTATGGTGGTATCTTCCCAGGAGACCCTGCCCTGGGGAAGGCCAAGCCAGCTGGCGCCAGGGTGGTGAGGCCACGTATAAGAAAGAGCTGCCCATGCCCTGTGCTAGGCCCTCCCTGAAGCCGCCTGCTGTTTGCTGAGAACTCAATTAAAACATCTGTACTTACCTTCTCCAATTACACTCCCTCTTGCTTAAGGACAAAGCAAATTAAATCATCCTGCTGCCCCCGGGCTCCAAACCAAATTTTGGAAGCAAATTTATTAGCATCATAAAGCCCAGGTTGATTTATGTGACAATCTGGAGCCACACACAGCAGTGGAGTCTGGTGGCTGCATTCCCCTCCTCCTCTGAGCCCCAGCTGCCCCAGCCCTGGAGGGAATTGACCTGAAGTGACCGGGAGTCACAGATGCCACGCAGGGACCCTCCCCACTGTCTGGTTGCTCTGCACCTTCGTCTCCACCTGCCACCTGCCTCGGGAGAAGTCAGATGAGGTCACCTTCCTCTCCACTGATGGCTGGGTGGATTCAGGACAAGGGATGAAAGACCCTAGCAGCTAGACATCCCGAAGTGATGCTGCTCACCACGTGCATCAAGCACAACTGTGAGTTTTTATATCAATGTTTGAAGCAAGTTGGGTCATAGTTTCCGTTTACAGAGGGGCTCTAGGGGTCACTGGTGAGGAGAACAGGGATGCCAGCTGGATGTCAGCCTGGCACAAGATGCAAGTGTCGTTGTGGCAGTTTTAAACACAGCAGCCTCTACCTGTCTCATCCACCCAGAGCAGCCCCAAGGGCAAGTCAGGTCAAGGTGGGAGAAGACAATCTTTGCTTGTTCCCTGCCAAGGCGCCAGGCCCACCTGAGCACTGGCGCCTGCTGCCAGCCCTCTGGCTGTTCCTCACCTGAGGCCAGAGAGGCGGCTGTGGGCTTGTAGATGGGGCAGATGGCAGGTGACAGGCTGAGGCACTGCTGAGTTGTGGAAGGTAGCAGTGGGCCCCGGTCCAGGCCCCAGGCCACACATCTGTGCTCACCACATGGGGCCAGGAGCAGCCCTGGCAACAGGCTGACACCAGAGTGGTGAGGAGCAGCCAGGCCGCCAGCAGAGGGGAAGTGGCAGCTGTGCCAGGCCCCGGGGAGTAGAAAGCTGAGATTTGAGCCCGCTTAGGGGTCAGAGGCCCTAGCAAGGCTGACTCATGCCAAGGGCCACTGAAAATCCGGCCCTTAGACCAAGATCCAGAGCTACAGGAGAACCCTGCCACCCCTCTTCCCTGGGGGCTGGGGCTGGCAGTGTCAACCTCATACTGGAGAAAGGGAGAAGTGACCTGTACAGAGCGCCAGCCATGTGTCTGTCACAGTGCTAAGTACTTCTTCGAGCCTCCTTTGCCAAGTGGGGTAACTACCTGTATGACGGATGGGTCCTGGAAAATTAAGGACTGAGCCCAGAACCTGCCACAGAAGTGCTCAATAAAGCTGCTGTTTACTGATGCCCATTACCTCCGTGTCACTCACCAGCCGTAACTGCGCTCACAGCCCAAGACCTGGGACTCAAATTTAAGACTTCAGGTATCTAATTGGTTTCATAGCCTTCTAAAGAGATGGGGGCGTGTGATGGCGGATGCCTGCAGTACTCAGTCAGGAACCGATTCTTCAGGGTCTAGAGGACTGGAGGGGAGGAAAGGATTGGCTCTGGTTCCCCAGTCCTCTGGGAGACCTGCACACCTCCCCTTTCAGAGAGCCAGGCAGGCGAGGCTGGAGGGGCCTGGTCTGGGATATCATGCCTACCCTTTTGTGAACTTTGTCCCCTACCCTGGGGGTAGATGTGAGCACTGGGCTCAAGACCAAGGGAAATACAGCCAGGACAACTGCAGGAGGGAAGCAGGTCAGACAGAATTCCCTGTGACTGTGGCTGGGCCTCTCTCTTCCTGGGTCCCACCAAACAGAAAAGCAGCTTTGGTGTGTGGTCATGGGGCCCTGGTCTAGGATGCTTTCCCACCCAAGGCCTTGCTTCCTCCCTTTCCCACCCCCAGGCTTTCTGCCTCCACTTGGAGAGGAAGGACACCAGCCCTGAACCACATCCCCTTCCCAGGGACTGTGTCCCCCACTCATGTTCCTAGATGGCAGCCAGTGCCTGGCCAGGCGAGCAGGAGCGGCCCCTCCTCCCAGCCAGCAGCAGGCTCGGCTCCACAGTTGGCTCTTAATTATCTTTCCAGTCCTTGATTATTAATGATCTTGGGCAATGAGCAGAGCAGCCCAGCCTCGCCCTGTCCCTGGCCCCACTGCCACAGTCTCCCCCAGGGCTGCACCAAATCCTGACTCAGGGAGAATGTGGGGTCCCACTCAGGGATTGGTAGCCTACTGTTAACCCTCTCACTACCGCGGCTGTGGCCAAGGTCAATCAAGCTCCCTTCCAGAGCACTCACCTAGACTCACACCCCCTACCTGTCTGATTCTGGCTCCAGCCCAAGAACATCCATAGGGCAGAGAAGGTGAACTTGACCGTAATGTAGGAGGGCCACCTACTCTTGGGGTGGTCAGACTCTAGCCACAAATGGAGATGTATCCCACCCTACTATATCTCAACTGCTCCCACCTCTAAAACCAAACCAAAAGGTCAATTCTCATGGCCTCTACTCAGGCCTCTCTTTGGAGACTGAAGAGGGAACCCTGCTTCCTTGGCACCAGCTGGGACATCACACCAAACCTTTTGAGAACTTTGTCCCCCACCCTACCTGGCTCCCCAGGAAGGGCACTGGGCAGAGAGAAAGGGAGCCAGGCAAATCTGTGTCTCTTTGTCATGTGGACAAATCTGCTTGGCCTCCACCCACCTGTTAAGGACAATCAGGAAAGGGTTTGACAGAATTGATAGTGCCCACCATGTTTGTGGAACAAATGGAAGGAGGATTCCTTGCTCGCTTCAGTCATTGAGGGGGGTAAATGTAGTTGCAGATGTGAAAACACCAAAGACTATAACAAGAGCCATCTCTTCACATGGCCCAGGGCAAATGGTGTGACAGAGAAAGGAGGTCAGCTGAGAACCCCAGAGGGAGGATGAGCGGATGGAACAGTGGGCAAATTCTCCTACCTGAGAAGTCCTGGCACCTGGAAGACTGAGCCTCACCTGGCCCTAGATGCCAGCCAGGCCAGGCTTCAGAGCCCACAGAGCCCATGCAGCCGGCCAAAGGCCAGGCAAGCCTGGCAGGCTCCCAGCAGACCTTCCGCTGTCTTCCTACCCTGACACCGTCAGGCTCCCAGGTGGTCCCTGTCTCGGCGAGACACCTGCAGTCCCTGGTCTGGGCCTCCCTTTTCAAGGAGACTGAAGATTGAGTTCCATTCATCACCACCAGCGCCCCCATGCTGATCACATTTGTCACATCTGGCACCAGGGTAGATTCCGTTGGCACTGAATACTGAGTGGCTTTTGTGGCCTGGAGCCCATCCCTCAGCCTCACCTTCTCCCCACATCCTCCCCAGACACTCCTAAGACTCCCCCAGGGTGAGCTGCCCACTTGCTCCCAGAAGATGCCCTGTCTGAAGATTGAATATCTGGATATTCCCATGATGCTCCTGTTGCCAACAGGTTGCAGAATGAGCAGCCAGGCGCAGTGAGTTGCAAGAGGTTGGTTTAATGTCTCCGTACTTAGAAACTCCAGTCAGGTGGAGCAAGGAGCAGGATGGCCCTGCCCCACCCACCCCCAGGTCTAGTCTCCGTGCCCTCATGCCAAGGCCACAGCAGCCACGACCAGGGCCAGACTAACACCAGGGCAGAGACACCCTCAATGGCCCTGCTCCCTGTGACACGTGCTGGATGGATGGGGCTTTGAGTGTTGAGGACACAGTCAAAGCCTGCTGAGGTCACTGAGCTGGCCATGGAAGAATTATCTGCCACTGGGGCCCCTGGCCAGCATATGGTTGCAGAAGCCAGAAAAGCCCAAGGCTGCCTGTCCCTATCCCTGACAGTGCCAGGCAGAGAATCCAGCCCAACAGGAACCAGAACTACCACACCTCACACTTCTGACTCCAGGCTTGAGATCCGCCTCCAGGTGCAGGGTCTTCGGGAGCCTTTGGTCCCACAGGCTCCCCTGCTGACCTCTTCCAGCACCCCACTGTCCCTGTAATCCGTGCTCAGTCCCAAGGTCCTGCCCCTGTTCACTGGAGGCCCCCAGGACCCAGGAAGCCAAGGGCCATGACTGGCGCAGGGTGGAAAATGAGGGCAGACAGCCCCCCAGCAAAATGGCAGGTGGGCATGGGCGTGCAGGCAGACGTGCTGTCTGGGCTGCCAGGCGAGGACCCCTGCTGGCACGCCTTGCCTGCAGGCCTCCGGGTAAGAGGGCAGCCGCATCGACTGTGCCTGCGCCAAGTGCCTGCAGGCCGGCCGGCTGGTGGGGCAGGAGCAAGCGTGGCCGGTGTACCTGGCAGGCAGCAAGCCAGGCCGAGTGAAGGCCTCGGCCACCGAGCTGGGCAGAGAAGCGTGGCGCGGGCGTGGGTTCCGGGCCCAGGCTGCGCGCAGCAGGGCTTCCCGCTGGGCCAGCTGCTCTGGCCCCAGCAGCGGCAGGTCGTCCGGCTCTGGGGGCTCCGGGAAGAGAGGGAGGAAGGGGCGTCCGGACCGGTCGGCTCGGGGGAAGGAGCTGTAGTGACAGTGCGCAGGGGACAGGGGGCGCTCTGAGAGCGCGCACCGCTCGGAAGCCGAGAGGTGCC